GTTTATTGGGCTTCCTTATAAAACATAGATGAGGGATTACTTGCAGAAATGTGGGTGTTCCTCCCCTTAACAACTCACACCTAAAAAAGCCTTACCCAGCTGGGATGAGGGCTTCCCCATAGCCTCATAGATGGAGCTCCCACTCTTAGTTTTCCATGGTAGATACTGTGTGTAATAGCTCTTCCACCAGGCTACGTGCAGTTAAGGCACAGTTGCATGCAACAGGTAGCAGGTGTCATGGGGTTTCTTTTGCTGTGAAGAGACACTATGACCATGGCAACTCTTATAAAGCATTTAATTGGGGTAGAAGCTTACTGTTTCAAAGATTTAGTCTATTATGGTGGGAAGCATGGTGGCTGGAAGTACGGTAGTGTGCAAGCAGATCTGTTGCTGGGGAAGGTGCTGAGAATCCTTACATCTTGACTAGCAGGCAACAGGAAGTGGTCTGAGACACTGGATGTGGCTTGAGCATATATGAGAATTCAAAGTCCACCTCCAGTGACAAACATCACCCAACAAGGCCATACCTCCTAGTAGTGCCACTTGCTTTGGGGGTCATTTTATTTTTTCAAACCACCACAGTAGGGATACTCAGGTTAGAATCTCAGGCCTATGCCACCTCTCCATGCAGGGGTATAAATTGTCAATAAATTCAGATGGGATGATCTTTTGCCCCAGTATGGTGGTAGCTTGGCTCAGAGGACAGTCACTACAGCTTTGTACCAATGAAAGGCTGGATTAACACTTTATTTTTCAAATCTGTACCTTGGAGAACCACGTGCCTGTTATTAAACTGGAACTGTTTGACACTGGCTTTGTGGCTAGAGGCAGGCAGTGGGAAAGGGAAAGGGCAGCAGGCAGGCAGCTTCGAGGTCCTGTCAGGTGGGAGGTTGTTTGGTTAATAGCTTGGAAAGCAAACCAACAATATTTAGGTAGAGAGGTAATTCTCAACCTGTGCATCATTACCCCTCTGGGGGTCACCTATCAGATACAAACATTATAATTCATAACAGTAGCAAAAGTACAGTTATGAAGTACCAACGAAACTATTTTATGGTTGGGGTCACTACAACATGAGGAACTGTATTAAAGGACCACAACACTAAGAACATTGAGAACCACTGAACTGGGGGAGAAAAGTTGGAAATAATTGTACTTGACTGTTTTTTTTAATATTTATTTTATGTATATGAGTAATTTGCCCACAGGTTTGTATACACATGTGGCCACAGAGGCCAGAGAAAGTAGTCTGATCCTCTGGAAGAGCAGTCCAGGCTGGCCTCAATTTTGCTTTGTGATCAAGAATAGCCTTGAACTTTGATCCTCCTGTTCCCACCTCCCAAGTTTTGGGATTATAAATCTGCACCACTTGCATTGAGCAAGTCATCATGAGTTGAATTCTAAACCAGGTCTTAGAACCCTAGGACTTTGTGTTTTAAAGGTCTGTTTTTGTTTTTCTGTGCACAAGTGTTTGCATGTACACCATGTGTGCATAGTGTCTACAGAATCCAGGAGAGAGTACATGATACACTTGGACGGGAGTTACAGTGTGAGGTACCATGTGGGTGCTGGGAATGGAACCCAGTTTCTCTTCAAGAGTAGTAGGTGCTGAGCCATCATTCCAGCCCCAAACCCAGCATTTTGGAGCACTAGACAGGAAGATTATCCCAAGTTTGAAGTCATCTTGTGTTACATAATGAGTTCAAGGTCAATCTCAGTTTCAGAGTGGGAGGGTCCCTGTTTGAAAAGAAGGAAATAGAGAGTGAAGAGCATTTGCTGTTCCTCCACAGGACCCAGGCCTGGTTCACAGCACCCGTTGGGCAGTTCACAAATGCCTTTTACTCCCCATCATACACCACCTTTTGTGTTTACAAGCTTCCCTGAGGACTGCGAGCCTCACCTCTTTGTAAACATTCTGTCCTAAGATATCCTGTTGTTTGACTTCTCTTTTTCCTGTCTTGATAAGTTTGCCTCTCAGTAGGCAGATTTTCACCTCAGAGGAAACTGCTACAAAACATTCCAACACCTGTCTGCGTTAAGCTTTCTAGGTTGCTCAATTCCTGCCCTTGGAGCTTTGTATTATATCATCTTAATTTTTCTCTTTATCCTTTCTTGGTCTGAGAATTCATTTGGTTCCTTATTTTGGTGTTTTGAGAAAAGGTCTCACTATACAATCAGTCTGCCTCAAATTCATCATCTTTTTGCCTTAGCCTCCTGAATATTTAGTCACCAGTAGATATAACACCTGACTCAGTGACTCGGTGTTAGGGGATGTGTGTTACAGCCCTGGGGAGGGATTTGCCCAATGGAGGTGTTGCAGCTCTGAGGGGAAGGTATCCTGGCAGTCAGAAGTCACACTACACAATAAACAGCACACAAGCAATCTACTGGGAAAGACAGCAGCACCCTGTGCTTGGGTGAGAAGCAGGGAACTGAGCAGGACACAGACTGAGCAGGTTTCTTAGGGATTGAGTTTGCCAGGGTAGAGATTGGTGAGATTTCAATCCCAGCCCAGGAACTGGTGGGTTTTGGGGCTCAGGGATTGGTAAGGTTTGGTGGATTTTCAAACCCAAAAGTAGGCTTGGATGTTTTACCCTACAGTGTGGACCTAGCAAAAAACCCAGGCCTAAGTTAAGTCTGCAGACCCACAAGGTAGGGGCCGTGTTCCTGCCTAGCAATCTGTGGGTTAACATCTAGAGATCTGTCCTGTCTTATCACCAGCTGGCAGATTATATAAGAAGGCAAGGGAACTGAGGGCAATCAATCATGGGGCTCAGGTTTGCTCAGTGTCTGGCAGTCAGTCCTGTTTCTGAGAGTTGTGGTCTCTGTACCTCTCTCATTACCATCCCTCTTCCTCTCCCCTCCTTCTGAGGATGTTCTCTGTTCCCTATCAGTTTCATTGGCCAGAGTCCTTATTTCCTGCAAAAATGAGCTGGTTTAAAGAACTTAGCTATCCCTGATTCATTTAGGGAGGGTACGGGAAGGGTGGCCAGTTAAGTGGTTTCCACATCAACTTTGCACCTGGTTCCTGGGCCTCAAGCCAGAGGAACATAGATGAGCCGTGAAGTTTCCACCAGTAAATCTATGGATGCTTCTGAACCTGCCTTTCTGCCTCACCTCACCCATGCCACCTGCAAAAACCAATGCTGACAACAGGTACCAGAGACCCAGGCATGAGGCCAGGATGGCAATTCTAGGGTGTGTACACAAGACAGCTTCCTGGCAGGATGGGAGGCTAACCCTCATCTGTGATGAAGGGGAGACAGGAAGGATAAAGCTGGACTCAGCCTTAAGACACCTTGCCAAAGCACCCTACATAAGCCAGGACCTCTTTAGGTAGAAGCAAAAGAAACAAAACAAGCAAACAGGCAGTTCTACTAGTTTTCTGGGATGGCTGTAACATTTACCAGTTTCGGTAGGTTTTGTTTGTTTGCTTGTTGTTTTTACGAAGTCCTTTGTTCCCTCTGGAGACTCTTGAGATCCAGGCTCTGCCTCCTTTAAGTTGCGGTGGCTCTGGGCATCACATTCTTTCCTAAGGCCTGTCCTTGAACTACCTCCCTCTGCACGGACTTTATGAAGGAGACATGAGATTGTGTTTTGGGCCTTCTCAGATAACCCTCCTCTAGATCTATAAGGTAGCCATACCTCTGCTGTATAAAGTGGACTCTTTGGCCCCAGTGTGTGACAGGTGCTTGGCCTTAGGACAGGGACCACCAGCAGCTGTGGGGTATCACTGTTTCACTTCATTTTCCTGCAAGTTTGGAAGGTTTATGTTTGCACTTTCTACCCAGAATTATATTTTCATTTAGAATCATTCCACTTTTGGGACATGGTGTCTCTGTGTAGCCCTGGTAAACCAGGTCCATGGCCACACCAGACCATCAGGCACCATTCATGAATGCCAGCTAGAAAGGAACTGCCTTTTCTTTGCTGAGATGCTAAGACAGCTGAAAGCTCGAGCATGGCGGCATCGGAACCTAGCCCTTAGCGGGGCCTTTCCTTAGCTACTGAGCAGCTATGTGAACACTAGCAACCTCAAGAGCTCTGGAGACAGATGTACCTGAAGCCCAGTTTGCTCAGGCGCTTGCTCAACCCACTTTGACATATCCTCAGGTAGGGGAGGCCTGACTAAAACTAGGAGCTGCCTGGTAACACCAGCCAGCCCCAGCTTTGAGTCCGCAAAGGTGGTGCAGCACAAGCACTCAGTCTCAGTTGGTGGCTGCTGTTCTGGAGGCAGGTATATTCATTCTCAGGTATTCAGACCAAGAGTAGTTCTGGGGGCATCCAAGGCCACACAGGTCTCCATGTTTCCAGGACAGATGACAGAAAACAAGGATGGTCTCGTTGCACATGTGTTTATTGAGTGCTGTGCTAGGGAAACCACAGGAAGGGAGGCCGTACAGCCAGCGGAATGCCGAGGGGGGGCTGAATCTCTCTCTAATGTCTACACAGCAGCTTGTCCTAAGTGGCAAGCAAAGCCACTACTACTCCTGGGCCAGGACTTGGGCTTAACGGTGAGTAACAGCACCACTGCTGACTGGAAAGCTTTGCCTGCGGGTCTGTCCATATGATCTCCTTAGTGCCTGGTCTACTCCAAAGACGACAGTTCCAAAATCTAGGAGTGGGGGTAGTCTCTGCCCAGCTCTGTAAGACCTGGGGGCCAGTGAGGCCTCATCTACAGGTGACCATTTCAGGAAGACAGCCAAGACACCTGCTGGCAAAAGGACCAGAGGCTTTCCAGTCAGACCCCAGCCTCAGCCCTCAATCCCGAGAACAGACAGAGGCCTATGAGACAGGAGAGCGAGAAGTTTCCTTTCAGCGAGCAGGAGGTGTGAGCAGTAGGCAGAGACGTGGCAGTCAGCGTGTGCTGTCCACGCCCACCTTCCTAATCAGAGCAGGACATGGAGAGCCAAGGCAGTGAGTATGGACATCGAGGACACCTGGGGAGGGGAGTGAGGACAAATGGACACTGCGTCTGCCTCCAACCCTTCTCAAGCCACTCATGTCCCCACCTTGGCCTGAAGGGTAGTGTAGAAGGGAATAGTGCAGAAACTGCTAACGCCCCACCCTCTCCCACGCCTACCTGTGGGAAACGGTGCCCTGTATTCTGATACGGGTTCATCCAGTCCTGCAGAATTGAGGGCCACAAGATGTTAAAGGCTGTCATGGCACCATCTGTGGAGTGGAGACATTCAGAGAAGACTTGGCCCCCTCCTCTGGGACAGACCGACATACTCCCTGGGACCTGCAAGCATGACCTGAGCTGGGAGGTGCATATTACAGGGTGGCTGTGCTGAGTAGCCCACAAACTAGTCTTCATCCTCACAGAAGAGCCTGGCAAGTGTCACCCCACCTCACAAGTGAACACAACCAGAATTAATAAGAGTTTAACTTTCAGCTACTAAGTGGCAGAGACCAGTTTCAAACAGAACTCTGGGATTAAGTAACTCGTTTTACCTACCCCATGGCAAAATCAGCAGCAGAGAGCCATCAAGGAAAAAAAAAAACAAAAAAAAACAAAAAAAACAAAAACAAAAACGCCTCATTAGTGCCAAAGTGGGAGTCTCTGCCAATTCCAGCCCATTGGGTGCGTTTTAAACTCATCCCTTCCAACCCCTAGAGACCCTTGACACCTCTAGAATTCTCTTGTGATCTGCGATCTCAAAACAACAGCTACTCAAAGAATATCGCTTTCATTCCATCTAAAGTGGGCTCACGTAAGCCAGTAGGACAGCTCAGCAGGTAAAGGCCCCAGCCACCAAAACTGAAGACCCTAGTTCTGCCCCGGGGGACCCACACCGTGAAGGAGAGACTCTCACAAGTTGTCCTCTTGACTTCTATCCATATGGCATGTGCACACCGCCCATCGCCCACGCCAAAAAAAGCAACATGAACATTTTAAGGACTCCCAGGGGCCAGGCGGCTTGGACTGGGCCATAGACATCCTGGCTCTCCAGCCCCTCACCCAAGCACGGATTCCTTGTAAAGAGCTTGTGGAAGGCTTCACACTCTTCCAACCGGTTTCCGCTGTCCCCACAGCTGCACCAGGGCGTGACGCGCGCGCTCACGTTGTCCAGGTAGTTGGGGGTGACTGCAGTTCCTGCAGGGACCCCAGGGCGCGTGATGGGCTCCCCGAGCCCGCCGCCGCCGCCCCGCCCCGCCCGCATGAGCCCGGCCGGCCCCCGTACCTATGAGGCCTGCGTAGGCGAGCAGACAACGCGGGCCCCGCTCCTCCGGGCAGCTGTCGCGGGAGCCGGGCGCGGGAGCGCACGAGGCCTGGAAGGCAAGGAGACGAGGCCTGCGCGCGCCCGGACGGCGGTGAGCGGCCCAGCCCGTCCCGCACGCACCTGCACAGGCGGCTACGCTCGCAGCGGTCCCGGGCCTTCAGGCAAGAGGGCGGCGCCGGCCCGGGGCCCGCGAACGCGCAGGCCGGAGCGAAGGTTTGACGCCGGCGCTCGGCGCACGCGGGGCTCTCGCACCCGCAGAAGAGCAGCGCATGCGTGAGCGCCGGAGGCCCACGGGCGAAGAAGCGGCGCAGGGCACGGCGACAGCGGGAGCGCACGCAGACCCCGGGTCCGCTCCAGTCCCCGGGCGCCGCCCGGCCCAGGCATCGTGCCACGTACTCCGAGCGCAGCTGCTGGCACTGCGCGTCTGCTGTGCACGCCTCGGCCGCGGCCACGCAGCGATTCCCGCCGGTGGAGCTCGCAGACCCTGGTGAGGGACAGGCAGGCTGCAGTCCCCCGAGCTTGATTCTCTCCCATTCCTCACTACGGAGTTTGGGAGTGCCCAGACCCAAGGGGAGAGAGTGTGGTCCATAGGTATGAACTTTTGGCGCTGAGGAGGGGGTCTCTACTCATCTTGTAAATGGATGCAACACTGGGAGGCTGGGTCTGGGCTTTCTCCAGAATCTGAGGTCCAGCCTCTACCACCATCTCCATAACTGCCACATGCTTCCTCAGCTCCACCTTATCCGATTTTGGAAATGGCATCCCTCATCCTCCTTTTGACACACTGATGTCTCCGTCTCTGATACATGGAAACCCCTTGGGTGAATCTACAGGTTTCTGGTCCTCCTTCTATCCTGACCTGTACCTCCCGAGTCTCGTTTGTCCTTCCCCACCTGAACTCTGGTTCTGGACCAGCAAAGGGGGACTCTAGACATTGGATTCACTGAAAAGGTACTGTGTGTTGAAGAGCCTTAGCGGTTCTTCCTGAGATGGATACCTGGATGTTCAGTGAAGATAAAGGTAAGTGATAGATGACAACCCAGTCGAGGAAGGGAAAATGCCTGACACTTCACATCAGAAGTTGGTAGACCTGGCAGCTGTGTCCAGACTTGCTGCTGGACATCTCCAAATCCAGCCAAGCCGGGGCATCTGCCAAACTTTCCAAGCCCCAAGTCACCAAACTCAGCTTATGATATTCCTTTCCCCATCCATCCTCTTGCTAAGACTGGTCTGACATCCATCACCCTTAAATGTGATCCACTCAACATGGCACATCTCAGCTCCAAGGTCTCCTCCATTCTCCACACTGCACCTCAGAAGGCAATCCCTTCTGCGATGCCCCTGGTGGAGAAGGGGCAGTCCGGAAGGAAGGTGGAGCATTGGCTGTGAGACACAGAAGTCTCCAAGGGTCACTGTGGAACTCCCCAGAGCAGGAGCTCTGAAGACCGCATTTGGGGGATGGGGAGAGGAAAGGAAAAAGAAAGTTCCTGGGGCACAAGTATCAAGGCCAGACTTGGGAGGGGTTGGCTCAGCTGAACCTAAAGATGAGGTTCCAGGCACTGTACAACATGGGCAGAGTCCCTGGACATAGAGCACAAACATGCCTTCCAGCATTCCAGCATTTCCTTTAGTCACTCTGATGCAATCCCACCTTGTCCCCGAGGATCAGATCAGAGAGGGCAAGGGCCAAGACCAAGGAGAGGACCGGTTCTCACCCAGCAGCTGCAGCAGCAGGAATACAGACGCCAAGCAGCAGGCCATAACGATTGGCAGAGCCCCAGATGGACAGGTGCCTCCTTCCTAGAGCCTGAGCCTGGAGGGCAGCGGGCACCCTGGTGTCTGGACTGATAGCGGAGCCTTTATAGAGGAAATCACACCCTGCTCCCGTCACATTGTCCCCACCCCCCAGATTGTACCTTCGGGTGGATCCAAAGTCTCTGAGCCAGGGCCTGAAATTGCCTGAATGGACTCAGAGCACTAGAGTACCTGCTGATTACAAGCAGTTGGCTCCTAGTGTGAACAGTTCCTCCTGGGGGCGGGGGTGGTGGGGGCTTCATGAGACGCACAATTAAACAAGAATTGAACCTCACATGTCTGCGAAAGCTGAGATGCGTGAGGACAAGGTGGGATTGTATGAGAGCGACTAAAGGAAAAGCCACAGTGCTGGAAGGCAGGCTTGAAATGACTTGTGCTCTAGATCTAGGGACCCCTAACCCTGTGCCCCTGCTGTACAGTGTCTGGAACCCCAGCTTTGTGTTCAGCTGGGCCACCCCAAGTCTGACCTTGATACCTGTGCCCCTTCTCAAGATTATAGCAGCAGCTGTGAACAGAAGACCCCTGACGTGTGGGGCAGAGCTGCCTGCCAGCCATGCAGAGAGCTTCAGGGTCAGAGCTTCACAAGTCACCACCCAGGTTTGGATGGGTGTTTTGATGGCGTTCATGCCCCTGTAAGTAGCCCATCACCCATATTATTTTAAGTAATCCCAATAAACTCATGTATTTGCCAAGTTGGACTTTTGCAGAGTAGTTTCTTTGACCTGTTGTCAGATCCCTGTCTTAAATAAACAGGTATTTTTTACATTCCCCAGGAAGCCTCATACACCCCCAGCAACACTCAACAATCCCACAAGACCTTGTTTCCTCCATGCTGAGCCAGTAACTTTAGGAAATAACAATTGTTCTTTTTCTTTCTTTATAATCTTATTGTCAGCTTTCATTCACTGGTTTTACACTTATAGAAAAGTTGTGGAAATGTTGATGCCCCCACAGATTCTAAACCCAGCTTTTTGATGTGGTCATGTCACAAAGATCAACACTCAGAAATTAATAATGGTGCAACACTATGATGTAAACTATGGGCCATTTAAATTCTCCAGTTTTCCAAGGCTGGGGCACAGCGGGATACACCTGTAAACCTAGTACTTAGGGGTGGGTGGAGGTAGAAGGATCAGGTGTTTCATACTAGCCTGGGCTACACTAAGATTTTGTTCTCAAAACACAAAGGGTGGCAAGATGGCTCGGTAAGTAAAGACTTCTGCCACTACGCCTAACACCCTGAGTTCAGTCTGGACCCATAGGGCAGAAGTGAACCAACTCCCGAAAGTAGTTCTCTGGCAAGGCATGCTCCCCCCCCCCGCCCCCTGCCGAGAACACATAATTAATAAAATGGAAAAAAATCATATCCAGGATCCCACACTACATTACCGTACCTCCTCCCAAGTGAGGCAGCCTCTCAATATTTTTTAATCTCTATTCTTTCTTTAAACAGTGTGTGTGTGTGTGTGTGTGTGCGCGCGCGCGTGCATGTGTGAGTGTGTACCCATGTGTATAGGTATGCATGCATGCATGCATGCCACACACACACATGCCACACACACACCCAACCTATGTCAATTGTCTCAGCTGGAATGGCCAGCAAGCCCCAGGGTTCCTCCTGTCTTCATCTCCCCATGGGGTTGCTGCACTCAGCTTGTTACAGGATTGCTGTGGATTGAATTCAGGTTCTCATGCTTGTGTGGGACTTTACCAATTGAGCCATCTCCCCATACCCTCTGTAATGGGGAGTTCATTGTATGGGGAAGGTAAAGAATTGACTGCTCAGGGAAAGCAGACCAAAATGTGGAGAGGGCAAAATTTTATGGAGCTCAAGCTGACATCTAGCATCAGGATAGGATAGGAATGGAAACAGAGCTGGGAATCTGCCTGGGGGCTCAGAGTGAAGCATTTTATCAGAGTGGCTCACCTTCTCACCCAGGTCCTCCCTCCCACTATTCCCACAAGAAAGGAAGCAGCCCTTTTAGGAGCCCTGTGCAATTTCCCCTGTATATTTTCTCTCTCCTTCACCTGTCCTCACCCTTGACAAGAATTCTGGCTAGGTGTTTTTTGGGCGCCAGATCCCCTAGAGCTAGAGTTGAGAGCAGTCTACTTAATTGTTGGGATTCAAACTCCGGTCCTCTGAAAGAGTCCTGCAGATGGAGGGGCTGGAGCAGGTTGGGGTAGAGCTTGCCAGCTGCTGGAAAGCCCAGGGTGGGACTGCCTCCGTGCACTGACCTGGGGGCCTTGGGGACTGGCAGATCACTGGGCAGGCAGGCTTACATACTGGGTCAGCAGTCAGCCCAGAGTCAGTGCAGGCAGACCATGATGTGTTGGAGCCCTGCCAGGAAAAGAAGGATTGGGGGTAGAGGCAAATGTTCAGTACCTGTTTTATTCCACCTGATAAAACCTAATACAGCCTTCTGTGTTGTTACACAGCATTGAGCCTAAAGATGATTTCCTTCCAATGTTGAGGAGCAACAGGGCATTATGACCCAGTACAGTGTTACTGTTCCACGAGAACTTTTGAGCAGCTGAAAAAACTGCTCCAGGGGTGTAGCAATGCACTGTGGGACACACTGTCTGCAAAAGCCGAGCCAGAAGGGGTTAGATGTATGTATTTGCAGCTTCCCCAGATAGTCCCTGTAGCAGAGAATGCCCTCAATCAATCAACACAAAAAAGCAGCCGGCTGTGTCCCAACAAAATTCTAGTTATGAATACTAAAGTTTATGCTGATCTAATTGTCACATTCATAGTTTTCTTTTTTAAAAGCTATCTAAAATATAAATACAATTCTTAAAGAACAAGCCTGGAAAAAGCAATTAGTGGCCTGGACTGGGTCTATTCACCACAATTGGCTCTCTCCTGGGCAAAGGCAGTGAGTAGGCTGGACTCAGCCTGCTCACCACAGTCGTTTCTTTCCCATGCAGGCCTCGAGCTGTTGTGTGCCATATAGAATTTTATGAAAATATCTCCTTCTTTCAGAGAGATTTAACTTTTTCTGGACCTCACGTCCAAGTTAATACACCATGAAGTCGCTTAGGGCTTAACCTGCTGTCCTGTTTATTTAGTCTCCCTTTAAGAGAACTAAGTAAAACCCTGTATAAAGAAGACATGCCCTCTCCATGGTAGGCTAAGAGGAGGGTTTTTGTATGGGAGAGAGCAGTCGGACGCATCTGGGGGGTGAGGCATCCAGAGCAGAAAGAAAGGAGACTGAATGTGGCCAGCAGCTTGGACATGACAGGGCTAAGTGTGAGGGAGGGGACAATAGCAGGGGACAGAGAAGCAGGAGCAGAGCGGAGGAGGGGGTGGGGGGTACAGCTGCAGGGTTATAAGAAGTAACTGTAGGGAGGAGAGCCCATGAGCTGGCGTTTAGGGAAGGGAGAGGGTGAGAAGGCCTGGATGCCAGCATGGACTTGGAAATGTGTAACAGGTGCTTGTGATGCTAAGGGAGCCTGGAGGCCAGCATGGGCGTTCATGTGCCACAGTAGCCATGTGCCCCTTCTGCCAGTGATGACTCCTTTTGGTCGCAGGGAACCTGCTTCATAAGTTCATGAGGAATGCTGGCTTCTATTTAACCTATTCTATTTAGCTCAGGCTGAGCTAAAGGAGGATTTCTGGAGGTTAAATAGAAGCCAGCATTCCTCAGGAACTTATATTTCTGGATATTTGAACTGCCTTTTGGAGTTTGGGAACTGGAATTTCCTTTGGATCTGACAAAACCAACTTTACTTGCCTTGGATTCCCCATGCCATCTCCTCTTACAATCTAAGTTAATGCATAGCTTTAATCTTAAATTATGTGCTCTGGCCTCTCCCTGGCCCAGATTAATGTTGCATGCATGTGTGTGCTGTGTGGTCATTACTTACTTAGAGGTTCTAGTCTGGAAAATGCATGATTCCCAAGGCCTTCAGCATGCCCCGCCCCCTCCAGCAGGAAGAATGAGTCTTTCTGATGCACTGGGGATTCCCCTCTCACTCCCTTTGGTCTCTAAGGAAAATGCCCCAAACTCAACTGCAAATGAGGCCCAAGGCCCCAGGAAATCTACTGCTCCCCACCACAACCCCTGGACCCTGGAAGTTTCAAAAAACAGCCCGTGTGACACATCTCCCACCCAAAGCAGTTTATTCAGAAAAACAGTGCCTGGGTCTGATGAAGCCATGCCCTTACCCTTCCCTATGCTCAGCTACAGAAACTGTTTCTCAGAGTCTGCACATGGCATTCTCTGCGCCCTTGATTACCTAGCCACAGGGTCTCAGGGAGCACCACCTCTCCAGCTGACAGTCAGCTCTCAACTCTGGTCTTGTTTTCTCCCACCGGGTCCCTTTTCACATGTGATGCAGAAACCCCAGGAAGGGCTTCTTGGCAGGTACAATCTGACTGGGCTCCTTCCCTGAAGAGCATCCACCTCCTATTTGTCATCTTAACCTTCCCAGAGCCACTGGTTCCTCCCAGGTCCTCCCAGCTCACAAGGCTGAGGGCCAGGATGTGGCCCCCATACTAGAAACCTCGACACCATTTCTAGTATCCTTATTGCCACGTGAGAAAATCAAGGGTTTCAAGTCTTCAGTGTCAGAAATGTACACTCACCATTCTCTTACCTCTGACCCCCCTTCCCCCCCCCAGGGCAGCCTTTGCCCTTTCAGAGTCATACACAGCCATACACAGCACTAGTCATCCCCCTGATGCCATGGAAGTAGAAGTAGGTAAGGGCCAGGGTTGATCTCCAGCTTTACCAGTGTGGAGGGCTCAGAGGGACCCAGACACCTGCGCCACAGCTGACAGACCAGTGGCGACTGTTCTTTTCACCATTGGTTATCTGACCCCACAGTCTTTTGATTAGCTACTTTTAAAAGACTCTGCAGCCAGGCCGTGGTGGCACACGCCTTCAATCCCAGCACTCTGCAGGCAGAAGCAGGCAGGTCTCTGTGAGTTCGAGGCCAGGACA